AGAGTATTCAAGAAAACAAAATTTCTAGATCTTAGCAAAGTAGATCTTGCTAAAGACATATTAAAAGGAGTAAGATTTAATGGAAGAAATTGGACAACATGGTTTAACACATTTATAGACAATATCACAGTTATATATCTCAAGATCTATTAACATTAGGATTCTTTAACAGAAATCCAAACTATAGATACATATGAGAAGATAATATAATGTGACTAGAAAGAAACCCAGATGAAAACACCAATGATGACAAATTCAAAAGAATGTTTAATATTCTATATATATAGAATCCCATAGATAGGTTGACACAAGAAACCTTTGAAAACCATACTGAGATGAATACATTGAGAAAAGACAACACTTTATGTGTCTTTTTCCAAGTGATTTGGCTCAAAATAACAGATGAAGAACACCTTCACATGAATGGAAGTGTGTTAAAGGACAACTTAAAAATAAAAGAGGCTTTGAGGAAGCACTAAATATAAACTACAATTTAATAGCAGCAAAACCAGAACAAGGAAACATTACTGCAACATATACAAGCAGAACCCACAAGATACATCACACCAATGCTCATGGATATTATTCATACATAAAGATATATCAGTGCAGAAGTGCAAGCAGATGCTCAAGCAAAATTCAATGCACTAATATTCCAACCTAAATATGTTACGCTACTAGAAGCACAACTATTCGAAGCTTAATTTTATAAAATGAGAGCAATCAACCAATCTTTTGAAGAAGAAGGTTGAACTAATTTAAAAGAAAAACTACCTAAATAAAGACACCCTGGAGAAGACTACTGTTTCCAACTACAATTTACAGGAGTACCAACATCATTTATAACAGTTTTCGATACAATCAAATACATTTATAATGCCTATTACAATAGTGATGTAGGAATGCAATTTTGAACTAAATTTGGCAACAAATCTGAAACAAAAGAAGTATATTTTTCAACCAAGAAAAATTTAGCAGTCATAGATCTAAACAAAGTACTATGTTTTAAATATAAAAGATATAGACATTTTTAAAAAGACTATACAAGTACAAAAAGATATGCCAAATATCCAGAATGCATTAGTAACCTACAAATAATAACAGAAACCAAAACTATAAGGAAAAGATCCAAGCTAATAAACTGAAGTACCAAAAAATCATTGATAAACTCAATAACCAGATCAAAATATTGAACATCAAAAATAAAGGAAAGGAAAGAGAATACAAACCGCAAGAATACAAACCATGCAAACCAAGAGAATCTAAACCTCAAAATAAAAGAAATGATAAAACAAGACAAGAATCAAGACCTTATATCAAAAAAGAAGGAACTTTCTAGCCTATGCGAGAATTCAAAGGAACAA